TCCCTCCCAGAAGCCCATTGCAGGTCTGCCAGAGGAGAACATCCCAAAATATGTGTCCATTGGGGCAGGTTGCTCTGTGCAAGGGCTGTTGAGCATGCAGGGTGCAAGGGAGGGATGCTGCAGCTGTGGGATGCACACGGTGTCCAGCAAGGAGGACAAAATGCTGCCGTGCTTAGACACCACAACATGGCCATGGTTCCACCAGCTCCCATCTGACCAGGGGGCCATGCTGGTTGGATGCAGTGGGACAGGCCCTCCCCCACACTGTGGTTTCTCTCTTTCCAATGGATCAATTGTGCTTGGAGGGCTCTGGGCTGTATGTAGGTCAGGCACATCGCTGGCTCCGGCACTGCCACCGATTGAACAAGGATCCCCCCTTCTCCCTCCATCCAGCCCCCTCAATGCCCAGCCCTTGGCAGAGGGCAACCTTGGCTGTCATCCTAGAGAAGAAGAGCATTGCTTTGAGGCTTTGGGCTCATTTGAGCACAGCCAGTGTGTGTGTGCAGCTCCCAGACCAGTACGGACACGGTGCCCGGTACATCCCCCTGAGCAACACTCTCCCTGTGTGTCCGTGCATGAGGAGAGCCTGGTGCTGGGAGGGGAGATGAGCAGCATGACCCAGTTCATGGCCTTCTGTCAATAAAGCTGGCACTGGTCCCACTCATCTTTATGGAATGGATGGGGCTGGACCAGCTCTCAGAGCAGGGGATTTCTCTGTGGGGCCCCACTGCAGCATCGGGGGAGCTGTGGATCTCCCACACATGATTGCTCTGCTGCTTGTCTCTCCATGGGAGTGGAGTAGATAAGAGGCATCCTAACTTTCAGCCTTGGAAGCTGGTTTGGCCACCCAGCTTAAATTCCTCCTAGAAGCCCTTATCACTCAAGGAGGAAACCCAAATCCTCTGGCACCTTGGGCTCCCCCCGAGCTGGCGAGCTGAAGGGAGGGGGAGGCCTGGAAAGGGAGAGAGAGCAGAGGAAAAACTTTCTCAAATAAAAAAAATATTCAGTAGTTCAGGGCAAACTTTGCACTAGTTGAAGATTTGACCTTGTGTTCTCTACTAAGAACAAACAAGAGAAAAGGGAGGATCATATTATTTTGCCTGAAATTTGGAGTGGATCAAACCCCTGCTGTTCCGAGCCCCTGCAATGAATGGCTATAAACAAGATGCATTTCCGGAGGATGAATTAAACAGTGAGCCTGAGTACTGACTGTGTTTTGAGAGATGTTTATTTGTCCTTGCTGCCTCTCCATAAAGAGTTGCACAAGGACTTACTAAATTTTAACCCCACATTGTTCTTAAGTAAACACTGCCCTTTATCCAACATGAGCAGCACTTGGAGCTGAGATAAGCTCAGGTTAGCTCACGTTCTCTGGAGCATCCAGCCTCTTGGAAGCATTCCTGAAGCAGCCCTGGGCACCAGCTTCATGCAGACCCCAGGGCAGCCTCAAAGTTCTCGATTGCCTGCAGAGCTCTGGCAGTTTTCTGCACTTTTCTGCCAGAAAGTTGTTTGCAAGAAGGTGGGGAGCAGCCTTGGCAGAAGCATAAGTTACATCTCAGCTCCTCTCCTCATTTTACGTGATGGAAAAGGGAAGGGTGATAAACCATGAACACTGGCCAAGGAGCTGTGTTGTGACTTCCCACCAAGTCATTGTCCTGGGGTCCTCCCACCACCACATGGAGCAAGTGCATGCCCATGGCAGGGAGGTTGGAATGAGATGATCTTTAAGGTCCCTTCCAAACCAAACTATTCCATGGTTCCGTGTACCATGGTCCATCCCTTTCATGTCCTTCCACAGAGATAGCGAAGCACTGAGATCTTCCTGCTCCCAAATCCACACTCTGTCACTCCCAGCATCACTGGTGAACACACAAAAAAAGGCTAAAGGGGGATGAATATCACCACAAACTTTCCGTCTTCTTTGATTTCCAGAGTCTACACAGCCTGCACTTTTGGACCATCTGCTGGCATCCAGCAGAATGGGGAGTTAGGTCTGCACAGCCATCGGCATTCAAGCATTTTCTGGGGAAAAAACAGTGCTTTTGATGCTCATGTGGGAAAGGCTGAGTAAAAAAGCACAAAAAATAAACCCCAGCACCTTGGTGTGAAAGCCAGCCCAGCTCTCCCTGCCTTACGGGGAGCCTCAAGAAATTCCCCCCTCTTTGCTTTCGGGGGTGTTTTGTGGTGTTTCCTCCACTTTGGGGAGATGTAGCCACAGGATGTAAGATGCTGAACGCGATTCTCCAAAAAGAAGAAGGATCTGTGCCTTGTAGAAACATTTCTGAACTCGTGTTTGTTCCCTCTCATGGGTCTGGGCAGAATGTCAAAGCCTGCTCTGAGCTGGAAATATTTTAAGACTAGCACTCACTGGAGACCGAAACAATGGCAATTCTTCAGCTACTGAGGCTTTTATAAAAGGGCTTTTGACACAGAGGCTGCTTAGGGTTGGGTTTTTGGGGTTTATTTTTTAGTTGGTTTTCCTCCCAGCAAACACTGTGCCAGTGTCCGTGTGCGCGCTCGTGCGCACGCTTTTGCGTGTGCAAAATAATCCCTCAGCTTCTGGGGGGAATGGCAGTCGGTGGGAATGCCCAGGAGGATGCCTCCAGCCCTGCTCCAGCAAGGAGAAGGCAGAGGCTCACACGGGATGCCACGCAGCGATGCAGGAAGAAAAAGACATTTTAGAGTAAATGTCAGCTTTTGCGTTTCTGGGTTTGGGGCTTTTTTTAAACATGTGGGTGGGACTTTTAATGCCCAGATGAAGCTGAGACGGTTTCAGTCTCCAGGGCTTATCCAGAAGATTCACACAAACACTATGGAAAGTGTCTCTTTGCTTAGGAGGATGAAATTTGACACTGCAGAGATTTTAACCCAGTATTTCAGCAAGGAGCCTCAGTGGTTAGCGTGTCATATCTGATAAAGGCTAATCAGCCCTCCTTCAGGCACCATTCAATTCTTATTTCCATCTGCTTCCCATGCAGATTGCATTATCCATGATATGTACTCACATGCAGGCAAACCAGTGCGAGTTCTGCTCAGCTCTGGTCTTCCCTGGACACAGGATCAACGGTGAAGGATGGACACGATGGATCACACAACCAGAGCCCTTGCAACCAGCCCAGGCAGTCCCTAACCAGGTCTTCAGCACTGTTGGGAAACCAGCATTATCCAGCACCAGTTTGCACTGGTGTGGGGATGGGATCCCAATGGGGACCGGGTTTCCTGCACAGCCCTGCTGCTGCCTGCCTGCCCCAAGCTCAGCATTCCCTGGCCCCAGTGCCGTCCCACCCAGGCTCCTCTCCCTGCTCCGTGTCTGAAGCCTCCTCAACAATTATCCCCGGTCACTGTTTGTTCAGGCGATGTGGATTTAGCTCTCCAGCCTCATGTGCAGTGTGTGTATAGGGAAAGATAGATTGCCACTACTTTCCAGTATAAATCACATTCCTTACAACACTCCAAAGTAGCATTTTCAACCTCAGGGTGCTAATAGGATCCAGCAGGAGAAAGAAATGTCAGCTAAGTAGCAGGCGCTGTTTGGAGAGTGCAATGGAGCTGATCCACAGCCCCGGGGCAAAAGGAGCAATCCCAGGGCAAAGGTTAAAGAGTTCAGGAGCACTTCAGCCTACTTAATTGCAACAGGGCTCTTACACGGTGCAAGATGGATGGCTCGAGCCGGGCAAGGGGGGCAGAGCGGGGGCAGCAGCATCACCCGCCGGAGGCACACGGACCGGGATGGAGGGACGGAGGGACGGAGGGATGGAGGGACCACAGCCACCCCTCGCTCCTCCCCAAAATGCTGCTGCGTGGCAAAGTGGCCCGTGCCACAGCAGGACCCCCCCGGCCACCACCTCCACTGGGAGCCCATCCCAATCCTCGCCCGATAAATGGGAATTTATATTGGAGCAGGCTGGTGCTGCGGAGGTTTTGCAACAGCTCAGCACAGCACTCGCCCAGGCAGATAAATAACCAGTAGCGAGAATAACTCCAGCTGCCAAGGAAATGTTTCCTGCTCCCCTGAAAATCATAAGGAACGTTTTAAGGGTGGAAAAAAAGGAGGAATTGGTTAGCGTTGCAGATCTTGTCATTTTTCTTACAGGATTTGTTTTCTTATTTCCTTTTATTTTGAATCTTCAGAATTTGAACATGTTTTCTATCAATCCCAAAGTGCTTCTGCTGGGAAGGTGCCTCAGATAATATTTTTAGAAGAGTTTTGGCTTGTTTTCTGACACATCTGAGAAATGTCATCAAAAGCTGATGTTTTGCATGGAAAAGCTCTTCTGCATTATTTTTTTTTTTAATCTAAAGAAAAAAATAGAATAAAAACATTTCATCCATTTCTCACAGGGAGGTTTATGCTGTTTCCCTGGTGATAAAAGCACAGGGCTGGCTCTTGAGACACACGCGTTTAATTCCCAGCTCTGCCTCAAACCCCCGCGATGACCTTGGACGAGCCACTTGGGCTCCGATCCGTACGGGATGGGATTTTTCCCTTAAAACTCCCGTTTGGCCTCTTCGACCGGGATAATGTCTGAAAAAAAACAACTCATTTCACTCGGGCCCCTGTTCTCCCACCCCATCGCCCACCCATCCCGCTGGGGATGCTGCCCTGCGTGGGTGCTCCATCCCCGCATCCCGAAGCCCCCGCGGCGGCCGGGATGAGGAGCGAGGGCCGCGGATGCCCTCTCGTGGGAAGAGCCGGGCTCGGCTGCGCTCTCGATCCCGGCGGGAACATGGATATACCCCCATGACCCTGCTGCCCAACCCCAGGCTGCTGCGGGTACCCCGATCCCCCCGAGCCCGCAGGACAACCCCCGATCCTCCCCGGGATGCAGCGCTGCCGCCGGGCATCACCGAAACCTTCCCAGGGCAAAACATTGGGCACATTTTATTGAGGAAAGGGGAGAGGAGGGCGTCCTGCCCGCCCGCCGGAGCAGCGATGGGGACATCCCTGCTCCCAGCACCCATCCCACCAGGATCCCGCATCCCCTCAAGCCCCGGGGGGCTCAGGAGAGGAGCAGGGCAGCAAGGACGCAGGGCAGCAGGAGGTGGCCGCCCGCGAGGCCGGGGGGAGGCCGGGGGGCTCTGGGGGAGCCGTTGCAGAGGTCGGTGTCGCAGCAGTGGATGCGGACGCCCGGCAGCTCCTGCTGCTGGCAGTGGCGGGAGGTGGCACAGCCGCTGGTCAGCAGGATGCCCAGGACCACTGCAAAGCAAGCAACAGGGCGGGACGTCAGGGCGACGAGCAGGGTGGAGGGGGGTGCTCTGCCAGCTTTCCACCGGGGGCAGGCCCTGCTTGGGGGCTGCGAGGGTGGATTTGGGGTGTGAGCATCACCAGCTCCACCCTGCTGCCCCACGGGTGGACTCACCGCTCTCTGTCTTAATGCAGAACCGGTGCTTGAAGCCCTGGTGGGACTGGGAGCAGGTGATCACCTCGGGGTTAGAGCACCCCATGTCCACGTTTTTGGTGCCAACCACGATGTTGCAGCCATAGCACTGGAGTCCAGACACTAAACAAGAACCGTAAGAAACACAGCTGGATTTTTCCGGGGGGGGGGGGAAATGCTTTCAACTCGTTCTGAGCTGCTCTCTAACGACGGCTTCGCAGCGCTCCCTGCCTTGCCAAGTCGCATTAAGCGCTGAGCCAAGAGCCCGGAGCTGCCCGTCACTTGTTTACCCGGTGGGCTCAAAAATACGGAATCATCTCCCACTAGAGGTCAGTGCAAATTCAGAGATTAGCCGGAGATTTGCGCTGGGATCAAACAGTGGGAACAAGGGAGCTTTGAAACAGGGGGTGTTAAGAGTAGGTGAAACCTCACAACGAACACCACTGTGTCAGGGCTCGGTTGCACTCAGAAACGGCTTTTCCCTTTTTCACCAAATTTCTCCAGTTTAGCTGTGCCCATGCCGGAGGCACTCGCTCCAGAGGGATGGTTTCATCAGAATGGTTTGGTTTTCTCCCTGAACACAGTCCTGATTTTATCACAGGTTCTATCAGGGAGGCAAACCAGCTCGGAAACAGAAGAGAAATCCTCATTCAGAGCACTGTGACCCCGGGACAGCGGCCTCAGTGTGTCCCCAGGGCTTTGCACACTTGCACTGGCGGCAGCTCAGTCCTTCCCTGCAGGGTCAGCAACTGTGCCTGAGATTTGCTAGACTGGGAATTAAGCCATTTCTCAGGTTTCTCAAAAAAAGAAAAAAACAGGAGAAAAAAAAGGGAAAAAAAAAAGGCCTCCAACAATATTAATTTACACTGACCACAGAGTTTAAGGCAACCTCTGTGTTGATGGATCAGGTTGCACTTATTGCTGCCATTACCTCTCCTCACCTCCAAAGGCTGACCCAGAGCCCTTCCCAATCCCAGCCTCCTCTGCTCCCACAAGGTTTTTGGGAGGTGGGTGAGACCCTCACACCACCAGACATGGTGAGGGGAGTCCCTGCCCTGGCCAGACCAGGGAAGGAGAGTCCAGGAGATCCCAAATTCTGCCACACTGCCCTTTTGTACAAATCATGATGATTTCAGCTCTGTCCTAAAACCACCAACACACAGCTGTACCGCTTAGGGCAGTAACACCCCCAAATTCATCCCGAGGATAAAACACACCTGAACAACCAGGCTTTAGGGAGGATGCAAACCAGACTCCAAAGCGTGGGGTACACACCACACCCCGGGAACAGCAGCACTTACCCTCTGGAAGGACGAACACCACAGTCATCAGAGACAGGATCCCATGGGCACCTCCAGGCATGTGTCTGCAGAGCATGGGGGGCAGCTCCTGGAGTCCACCCAGGGCTCAGAGGACGAACACCGGGGTCTGGGGGAGCGGGCAGAGGTTTCCTCTCCTCCGAGCTCTTTTTCCCAGCCGTGCTCGTCGCCTCCTCTTCACCTGCAAACCTCTCCGCCGGGATAGAGGGAAATGCCGTCGGTGCAGCAGGGCTCTGGCTGCTCCAAGCTTCTCCAGCCAGCCCCGTGGCACCCAGTCTCCTTATGTCGATGCTTAATTTCTCCCTTTTCCTCTTGAGAAATTCTCTGATTCTTTCAGTTCATGCACAGACCTGAGTGCGTATGTGCTACCCTCAGTTATTTCTGTCCTATTTCCTCTGTCCACGATCACTTCCCATTAATACCACCGTGCAGCAGCTCTTGGAGAGAAATTCTCCCTAATCAAGATTTAGTTTTAAATCCACTTCGAAATCCTCTAATTCAGTTGGATTAGGCAGAAGGGGTTTGGGGAGATGTATGGTTTTACTTTTTTTTTTTTTTTCCATCTCTTTTTCCTCTCTGAGCTGCCTCATCTTCATGAACGGACCCACCGGCTTTCTGTGACATATTGTGCTATTTAAAGAGGGCAGGAATAATTTTATTAAAGAGAAGCAGTCAACTAATTTTAAATCCGAGACTTGAGATCCTCTAACAAAGTACAGCCCTGGGGATGGCCGTGGGGTCAAAGGGAAAACCTGGAGGAGAGAGAAGGTTTGAATGTAGTGTGTGTATTTACAGACAAAAAAACAGTTGCCTTAATAAAGCAGGGAGAGACCAAATAGAGCCAGCCCCAGGCTTGGATTGGCTCTGGAGGGAGCTGGGGCTGCCAGGGGCTTGGGAAGGGGATGGGGGTGCAGTGGAGGAGAGGACTGAGCTGTGACAGCTCTATGGGGCCAGGGTTGGACCCACATCCACATGGGACACCACGGATGTCACCAGCTGCAGGATCAGGCCCCCAGACCCCTGTTGGCTCCTCCACCACTGTCCCCACAGGCAAAGCCTCAGCTCTCAGCGGAGCTAATGAGACTTGGAGAGCTAATGCTTACTAATAAGAGAGCGCGACCGAACGCAGGGGATTAAAAAATTAAAATGACAAAATAAGCTGCTTATGTAGCTCATCCAGCAACTGCCTGCTAGCAGCACCTGAAATCCCCCACCCTGGGCACCCCAGCCCACCGGGCACCTCCTCTGCCAGACACAGCTCCCAGACAGGCAGGCTTGGACGTAATCTCCGACAGCATCTTCATTAGCACGCATCCTTATCAATATTTCACCAAGAAATAGCACAAACTGGTCCAAGTAGGGGCATCTACAGCTCAGGAAGGGCAATTGGCACCTGGGAGATGCACCCAAGTAATGCAGCTCATGTATTCAAATCTCCTAAACCACCCACCGTGTCTCGCTTGCCTCAAAACAATGTGATTGTAACAAATGTCTGACACAGTAAAGCCTGAAAGCCTGGAGGAGAAGGGATAAAACGCAGGAAATGGGATTGATTTAAACGCATGCATAAATCAGAGCATTCAATAAGGAAGGGAAACTAACTTTTAATCCCTTAATAAACTCATCAGTATCTGGAAGGGGCGGCCAGGAACAGCCTGGGGTCTGCAGCAGCAATGTAGCATCCGTGGAAGTGTCCAAGGCCAGCTTGGACTGGGCTCGGAGCAACCTGGTCTAGTGGAAGGTATCCCTGCCCATGGCAGGGGGCGGGAATGGGATGAGCTGTAAAGTCCCTTCCAACCCAAACCACTCTGTGACGCTGTAATGCGGCAGATGTTGCACAGCTGGCGGGGCCGGGGCCGCGCACACCTCTGGGCACTGCACCTGGCTCCGCAGCCTCACCCGGCAAAGCGGCTCCTCTGCCAGCGGCACAGGGCACCGGCTGGTCCTTCCTGCCGGGAACCGAGCGGGAGGGTCTGCGGGACGCGGTGGGGCCGAGGGATGTCACGGTGCAGTGAACCTGGGGTCGGTGGGACCGGCAGTGGGATGCTGAGGGGGGGGTAATCCCAGTAGGAACATCAACTCCCAGCGCCGGTTGGAGGAGATGCAGCGCTGATTTAGCCAGATGTAGATGTTTGTCTCGTTTTATTCCTCTGGGATGCAGAGGAGAAAGGCCTTGAGAAAAGGGAAAAAAAACCCCAACCCAACCTCTTCGACCGCTTCCACGTCTGGAACCTGTAACTCGTCATTAGCTCTGATGGAATTCGGAGAGATTTAACTTCCCGGGGTGGCGGGAACACGCCGGGAACAGGCCTCCTTCCCTCGGCTCCGGGAGATTCTATCAGCAAATCTCGCGGGACACTCCTGCTCCCCATTTAAACCTGCGGGGCAGCTGAACCCTGCGCAGATTAGGCGGGTCCGCCGGCAAATCCCTCTGGGAGTTCATCCCGCGGCCGGGCGGCCGGGAGCGCTCAGCGGCACCGCCCCGCATTCCGCCCCCTCCGAGGCGGGACTCGAACCTGCGCACCCCGGGCCCGCCCACCCTCCGGAAGCAGAAGTGCCGCCCCCCAAACGGGCCCGGTGACTGGGAGCACGCCCGCCCGCCAGGGGGCAGTCAAAGAGACTCGATCGGCTGCTGCGCTCTGATTGGCTGGAAGCGATGAATACATTAAGAAGGCAGGAGAACGCGCGCGTTTGTGAGGTTTTCCCGGGGGTTTTAGGGGATTTTTAGCCGCAGTTGGAATCAGACTAAATCTATAATATGGAGAACAGTAAGGAGTGTCAAACTGACGTGAAAGAGAAGAAAATTATTTCCTCACTCTGTTCTATGTAGAAGTGGCTTTCTGAAGGTTTAAATAGCCTTCGGCAAAAGAGTCGCAGACGTGTTGTATGAAAGGAGAGAAGGTTAGCACTCCCCTTGATAAGGATGGAAGAGGTCCTAGTGGCCTATACAACACACATACGGTTAAGGCACTGCCACCTACTTCGTGGCATCTAACCATGTTTTTCGGTTTTCTCTTTTTGGAGGGGCGGACCTTAAAAAACCCGCCAACAGCTTTTGTCACCCAGCTTCTCCTTTTCCCTCGGCCCAAACGCACCCAGAAAACCAGAGAGCCAAAGAAAGAACTGGCCCTCCCTCAGCACGCTGCAATGTGCTCCGAACACCTCCCCTACTACAGCCCGTCCACAAACCTTTTCAGTGCTCTGCTTTAGGTGATCCCAGCCCTCAAACCACCACGGCCATGCCAGGCTGCATATAATTATAGCTAAGTAGAGCTCATGCCAATAGGCCCCAGCATTAATCCCAGGTGGGATATTAAGGATTTAAACATAACCCTTACAAAGAACAGCTTTCCAGCAGATCCTTTACATCAGGGCTCCATTAGCCCTGCTGTTCAAGAGATTTCCTCCTGATAGCAGAAAAATCATCTCCCTTCTCCATAGCTCTTTGGCTCAGAGGGCAGAGAAAGCCATAGCACAGCTGGGCAAAGCCACTCACACACAGAGACACGAGAAGTACTGTGCCAGAAAATATTTCTGAATCTACATTAAAATGCTCTGCTGGAGTAAAATACCCTCTTCTCCACACTGCAAAGCAGCACAGCCCCACCTTGCATTGAAAAGTTTCATTGGCCTGCAAGAAGACTGAAAAAAAATCATGGATCAATTATTTTAGCAGTGACGCTCACAAAGTCTAGACACACAGTGTCCCTTCCTGGTGGTAATGAAAAGCTTCAAAAGCCAGTGATATTATTAATAGCCATTTTAGCACCAGCTCAACATGAACTCTATTTTTATATTTTTAAAAGAAAAGCTATACCTCATGTCTCACAGCTCTTTTTCTCTGAGGGCAAAGCCAGGCAGCCTCGGGGCAGCACTACAGAGGTCTGTACTGTAATTGATTTTGTGTTATTACCAAGCATGAGGTCAATACCAAAAAAATTGGTCTTTGCTTCACCAGGAACAAAACATCCTCTTCCAGCAGAACCCTTTGGGTGCAATAAACTTGTGCCTCCATGCATTTCTTAACCAGCACAAGCTAAATCCTGGATCCCTGCTCAGCCTGCAAGGAGAGGGCAGCCAGATTCCTTTCCCCTTGGCTAAAGCTCTCTGTGAGGGGTTGTACTCATGTCTCTGCTGAGGACACCCTCACTTGAATCCTCTTAATAAACAAATTTTGACCTGTGTTCCTCTTTTTCTCCACAACTGATGTAAAACACCATGTTGCTGTTCCTCCTCCTCCCTCACTGGAGCTGCTACAGAAACACTTCCCTCAAAAGGTGGACACAGACACTTCACATTAGCACACTTACCACAAACGTACACATAAAATCCCACCTTTTTATTATGGCATATGGTATTTTTGTTTTGTTTTGAATGTGTAAATACCACATGGGTATGACAAAAAGGGAAAGAAATACCAACGCTGCGATAGATACAGAGTCATGCCATTAGCAATACAGCTTCATACGATGGATTTCCAAGATACAAAAGTCTGGGGTTTGTTTCTTTTTACATTGAAATAACTTTACAGTGTCCTGTGAGCATTGCTTTAGAACCAGAAGAGGAAAAAAAAATAATTAAGGTATGCTGAGAACAACTACAAGCAGGATTCATTTTAATGGTTAACAGAAGAACTGTAACTTTGCTCTAGAACAGCATCTATTAAACACACGTAACAAGAGGTAAGCAACTATACAGAAGGTAAGAGATTCCACCACAGGAGTCAAGTCAGGGGCAGGAAGAGGGAAATCTGGAACTGCATGGTTTTATTTGGTCACAAAGTTTGAGCTGAGTGTTTAAAATGAAGCACCCTTAAAGATGCAGTACTCCTATTTAAAACAATACAGAAACTTCCCAAGAGACTAGAACCTACATTCTGGAAAAAAAAAAAATTAAAAAAAAAAAATTTTAAAAAAATTAGACATTTTAAAAAAATTCCACACATCTCTAGGCTCGTGACTTAACTTACTGGTACAAAGTAGGCTGGCAGGTCTTCCTGAAGCAGCATCAGTGCCCAGAAGCAATGCCACCATAAAGTACAGTATCTTTGGGGTGTCCAAGACAAGGCTGACACTTCTGACCCGACGTCAGAATAATCCATTTGTCTGCCAAAACATTAGGCAACAAAAGGAGACACTGCATCTTTATTTTTATTTTTTTTTCCCACCACGTTGCCCGGCTCTAGCAGAGCTGAGACCTTCTCTTTGGGCCAAGACTAACAGAAACCACTTTGTCAGATATTCTTCAGGTTTCCTGCCAAACTGGATTTATGGGTGGCTTGTTTGGTTGTTTTTTTTTTTAAGTAATTTTTTTTTTTTAAAAACACTTTTTTTTTTTTTTTAATTTCCTGACAGTCTCTAAAGCAATCCTGGAACGTTTAACAGTCACTCTTCCACAGTTTAATTGTTTTGTCGTTTTCTAGTGCCGCCGACGCGATGATGTTTTCTGTTGGGTGACAGGCTGTCGAGATGACAACATCTAAGCAAGAAAGAAAAAGATATAA